CCTTACTTTGATGCTTCAAGCATCAGTTTTTCTTTAAATATTTTTAGAGATGAAAAAACAATTAACCAAATTCAAAATAAACCAGTATGATGATTAACTAAATAGTATTTAAAATATTAAAATTTGGTGTTAAACAATTCTCTTGAAAATATATCATAATTTATTACTAATCTAAATGCAACTCTTAAAAACAAAATATATACGTTTCTTATTATTAGTCACATATACAAACAGTAATCACAATCAAGAATGTGTGGTTAGCATAATGATTATTGGTGTAGAAAGGGAAACCAAGGTGACGAGGTCAAATCCCTGCTTAGTTTCTTTCATTCGCTTTTTCACAAATGCCTTTGGGAAAAGTATGAATCTATCACTTCTCCTTTCAACTATCTGTTAAATAGTAGGGTAAGCTGAACTCTCTAGCCTTGGCTGTCAACCAGTCTAAGAAAAGGATCACTCTGAATTTAAAACTATGGAGAAGACAATGGGAAAACAATTTCATTATCTTTTCCAGGAAGTCATGGCAATTCACAGATAATAAAGAAAAGGAATCTGTGGACACCCATGGTTGGTCACCTATGGTATTAAAAAAATTTCTACTAAAGACATGAAATCGTTTTCTTTTTGTTTTTTTTTTTCTTTAATTTTGAATTAGTTTTGATATCCAATTATATTCAAATAAATTTTAAATAATTGCTGATTTTTTTTTTATAAAGTAATTCCTTGTTTTACCTTTTACCAAAGAGTATAAGATCATATTAGTACAGAGAATTTTCTTGATTATGTTTTTATGCTTCACAATTGCAAGCCACCATTAATCAGGTATTAGACATTTATTTGCAGCAAAAAAGACAACCTAATTGAAATAAACACACTTGAATCTTTAAGAAAATAATAATTATCAGTTGTAGCATTCTACTTCTTTATATTTATATATATTTGACTATTTATGAATTGGGGAGCATTATAGAATCTTCAATACCAAGGCAGTTACTTGAAATGTTTCTAAGAAAAAAAAATGATAAAAAACGAATAATAGTACACTTACCAGAGTATTCAAAGATTCCATTATGTCCAGTGTGCTAGAATTCTACATTGGAAGTCAAAGGTTACAGTGTACAATAAATTTATAATCAAAAATTAATATACCTAATTTGTTTTTGTTTTCTAAAAGTTGACAATTGTATATGCTTTTTTGTTTTGCAAATACAATAAGACTCTTCATTAGTCTTCAATAAAAAAATATTTCTAGAAAATTATGACCAAAACTTGAACATACGGGTGAAAGCACATTACTATGTACTTATTATAGCAATAATTTAGTATGTACTTATTATAGCAATAATTTAGTGAGCAGTTTTTATTTATTAAAGCAAAATTTAATTTATATCAATAAATAGTATGTACTTATTATAATAATAATCATAGTATGATATATTTTTATAGCAATAATTTAGTATGTACTTATTATAGCAATAATTTAGTATGTACTTATTATAGCAATAATTTAGTATGTACTTATTATAGCAATAATTTAGTATGTACTTATTATAGCAAAATTTTTAATGTGAGTTATTATTCGAATAATTGAGTAAAATTTATCAAATTATTTAATTTCTTTAAGAAAAAAAAAAAAATTTTCTTTAACAAAGAAAAAAATTTCTTCAAAGAACAAAGTTTCCATTCTTTATCTTGAATAAGGGAATTACATATTGTATAATTTTCTTGATATGCCTTGTTTTTTGTTTTTTTTAAATCAAATAATACAATATGAATATTAAAGGGAAGAGGAAACCTTATTTATTAAGATTTAAATATTTTATGTTTTAAATAATTGTCTATTGGCTTTCAGAAGTTTTACTGCTTCTTTATAAAATATTTTAACATTTTGCTGCTAATTGTTTTTCTTTTGGTCTATTGTGGTTTTATATTTTTTGCTAAAATCTTTAAGAAAAATGGCAAATTGCATTCTTGGTGTGTTTAGCAATCATTTTTTTTTATCTTCTTACAAAAAAATTTCAAATTTAAACAATGAATAAAGTTTAATATAGACAAAAAAATCTAATGCTATTTCTTTTCTTTAATTAAGTAAATCTGTTTAATTTCTGGTATGAAGATTTATCATTATTTATATTCAGACTTGATGTCCTTATCTTTATTGTTATTATCATAATGTTTCAGACATTGAGTCCTTTGGCTTTCTCTAGGTGTCTGTTGATCTGAGTAACTTTCAGGGAGTTTTGAACTGAATCCTTCATCTCATTGCATAAAGAGTGGGATTGTGAATCTATTAGCCTAGTAAATGTAGGTTCAATCTCTGGGTCAGTGAGTATAAACTCAGGTACAGTGGGTATAAATAAGACTATCAATAATTAAGCAATATTAAAAAGAAAAGAAAAAAATACATGGCAAGCGAAATGAGAAGAGTCCACTCCTGTAGATTGAATAAAGGGTTCAGTTTGAAATTCCTTGAAGCATCCCCAAATTCACAGAGACCTAAAGAAAGCCAGAGAGCACATTATCTGAAATGTTGTGGTGATAACAAAGTTGCCTGACTGTAATCTGAATGCAAATAAGTCTGTCTAAAGAGATTTCAACTTAAAAGTAGTTTCTCAGATACAAAGTGCTCCACAAATGTTCAAGGAAGATGAAATTCTTTATTTTTTTGCTGTAGTGATTTTGAGAGATTGGTGAAAAATGTGGCAAGACAGAGGAAATGCTAGCTCACTTCAGACATTTGTTCATTTTCTATGAATATTTTTATACAATATTTTAATCTTTTTCTTTTATAAAACACTTTAAATAGGCACTGGGATTCAAAATAATAAAAAATTTTTCAAATTCTTTTTTTCATATTTTCTTATCACTATAGAATTTACTATTCAGATCACACACACACACACACATATATATATATATATATATATATATATATATATATATATATATATGCTACATTACAGTAATAAATTGCAACTCAGATTGAGGAATCTGAGAGCCGAGTTTGAATTCCATTCGAGTTCATTACATTCACTTATGTGCTAATACCCTTGGGAAAGGTATGATTCCAACTCCTCTCCCCAGATATGGGTAAATAGTAAGACAGACTGGGTTCTATTGCCTTGCAGGGTGTGGCAACCTCTCTAGGAGAAGGAAAACTTTGAATTAAAAACTGTATGTAGCTCTGGTGAAGCACATACTATGGCAGCTAAGGAAAGGCGTCATTCACATTGACTTGATGATCCCGACTACTGTAAAAAAATAAATAAAAACAAAAAGAAAATTCTTATATTAAATTTTATAAAAGTTAACGATGGTGTCCAATTTTTTCAGCAACATCAAGCCTGGTCAGTACCAAGATGGGTGTCCGCTTGGGAATATCAGGTGCTGTAATGGATAATGACTTAGAATTCAAGAACTGAGTTTCAATTCCAGTCAGATTCGCTTATGTTCAAATACTCTCTTCCTCCCCTATCTATGGGTTAATTAGTAAGGCTTGTATCACTGAATCATTATCACCTCAAAAAAAATTCTGGTTTTAAGTAACCTGCAAAGAGATGTTAAGCTGTAGAAAACAAATGAATCAAAGAATTCTTATATATATATTGTCATCCACAGACAGACTGTTTTGCTGTATCACAGCTCATCAGTGTGGCTAGACATCCAGTTGCCTCTAGCTATGATCGAAACCTGACTGAATTTGCGTCAGTTGGGGATTCTACCACTAAGCCATTGGTGCACGGCAGGGATGAAGGTGAATTTAAGTGTATTTATTTTTAGATAAACACACAGTGACTGAGAGAACTCAATTCGATTTACCGAAGAGTCTTGCATTATTAGCCGTAATAGTCACTGTTTACAAACCCACACTTCCTCCCCAGAGAGCTCAACCGAAATAAATTTTTCAGGATCATATATATTGTCATCCACAGACAGACTGTTTAGCTGTATCACAGCTAATCAGTGTAGCTAGACATCCGGTTGCCTCTAGTTAGGATCGAAACTTGACTGAATTGTTGTCAGTATATATATATATATATATAAAATTCATATCTGACATACTTAATCACTTGTAATATATTAAAAAAGGACTCCAGATTATGAATTATCTTTATTTCTTTTATGTTTTTTGGTAAAAGAATCAATTTACAATTAATTTATATTGGAAATTGCTATTAACATTTATAAAATTTAATAAAAACAATCTTTTTTTCTATTCATGATATGGAGTGATAAATCTATAATAATATGAAAAAGAATTTTGACAAAAAAAGAGAAACGAATTATTTCAGGCTGTGGTGCCTATGTTCAACTCCACTGACACTAAATATGCTAGAATCTTCTCTAAGTTATTTTTACTTTTTCATAAAGATGATACCATGAAATAGATTTTCCTATATGTAATAATTAAATCTATTCTTTGAGAGACAGATTAATCAATCTGTTCAGCCCCTCCAAACTGAAGATTGAGTGAAGTTCTTTATAATTGTCAAAAATATTTTTAAAAATGTCAATAATATGTAAAATTTCAAAACTTGTCTAAAAATCAATTGGATGATTTCATAATGTTTCATATGAATTCATACTTACTATATTTAATATAGGTGAACATAAAGTAATTTATTGATCCATTTGAAAATTGAATTAATATCTGTAAAATTTATTGACATAAAAATACCAAAGTACTATAACCAAATTGATTTGTCTTTCTGTTATAACAGTAAAAGCTTTAATTCTTGGTGAAAATGTTAACACTTTTATGTCAGTCTTGTTTATTCTGCGATCAGTGAGTGTTGCAAATTCTTGTTGCATGTTACAGTCATCATTCTGCTTCTTTCGTTATGTTTGTTAAATTGTATGAAGAAAGAAAAACAAAATGACTTGACCCTTTCTCTTCCATTAACAGCGAGTCTAACGGTAAAACTCATGTGTTGCGACACACAGAAGGCCTGGCTGAAGGCTCGTCTTCTGAGATTAAATGTTTAATCACGCATGCAGAAATGCCTTTTGAATCATCACCAGACACGTCTCCTGGGTACGCTTGTTACTTCTACTTCGTGTGTCACTTCCTTCCTTCCATTCTTTCTTTTCCTTTGTTTCTCCTCAAATTGTTGTTGTCATTAATTTTTAAAAAATATATTTTTTTTTAATTCTCTTTTGTTGCATATTGTCTCTGCATGGCTGTGTTGTTTCTGCTTATTGTTTTGTTCTTCACTTATCTGCATGTTCTTTATTTAGCATTACTTTTTTTTAGTTACCCCCCTCCCACTTTTTTTTAACCTGACCTCATATTTTTACACCATTAGCAAAACAACAAAGCAAAAGGTTATTATTTAATTCACATACTGTGTCCATTGTAGGGGATATTTTAAATTGGGTTTTTTGTAAAATAATTTCTCTATCATTTGTAATCGACCACTTACCTAATTCATTTTTGCATTTATTCATTTTGAAAAGTTTAATGTCTTAAATTTTTTAAATTATTTTCTAAACATTTTAATGGTGTTTTTATTTGTGCTACTAATAACTACAAATAACTAATTTTAAAAACATATTTCTCTTTAATGATCTATAAAAACATGCTAAAAAGAACAGTCTTGTTCAACACAAAAAATGAACTCTCATAGATACTTGATTTGATGGCATATATATATATATATATATATATATATATATATATGTATACTTATCTGAAAGAAGAAACTCTCTCTCTGCGTACTCATGTGATTTATAAAATGAACTTCAGTCATTCAATTTATAATTTAATTGGTGCAGGCTGCTGGGGGTTGGGTGTGAAATTTTTTGAATTAGCCAATCTCAAGATAGATTGCCATTCAAGACTGAACAGCTTCTGTCTGTCCATTAGCACAATTGTCCATGCCTTCCAAACGGTTTGGCCTACTTATTTTCACTCACTAAGCTTGGGTCAGCCTATTGTATAGTGTCCAGGTAATTCCTAATTGTTCTGAACACTGGAATTGTCTTCCCAGGAGGTTATTATCAAAAAGTTAATTTTGTAACTTAACTGTTCATGATGTGTTTAAAAATGGGGTCTCATTGTTCGAACATTAAAGTTCTAATCATTTGGCCATGCACCCTTATATGACCCATAAATTTCCCAAATAGATTACAATTTCATAAATTTGTAATAAATATACACATACAAAAAGTTTATTTTGAACTAAACCAAGTTTTGGAATTAATGTTGTCCTGGGGACTATGAAACATTAGTTTAGGAATATTTGTTGTTTTCTTTCTTTACTGAAAGATAAACAAAGACAGAAAATTTAGTCACAAAGTCAGGCAGGTAATTGTAAATGAAAACTTTTGACTGTGAATAGTTGAAATGCATGAATATTCTTTATATAGAAAAATGAATGCATAGTGAACAATTCTTTAAGTATGGTAAAAGTTACTCTGAACTTGAAAATTAATTAATAAGAACATTTCTATCAAAAAATATTCAAGGTAACTTAAATGTTTAAATAGAAATAAAGTAGTGAGTTTTAGAAAAATTACATTAAAACTTAATTTGTTTTTGCATTTATTCATTTTGAAAAGTTTAATGTCTTAGATTTTTTAATTTATTTTCTAAACATTTTAATGGTGTTTTTATTTGTGCTGCTAACAACTACAACTAACTAATTTAAAAAAAATCTTGATTTTGGGACAGTTTAATTTTTTTAACATGATTAAACTAGTTTGTTTTTTTGAGATGGTTCTGGGATGAAGGTGAAAAAAGTTAATCTGGTGCCTTGGACTGAACCAAATGAAGAACATTGGTAAAGTTCCAGTAACATTTATTTTCCTATTTAATAGTTTTTTTTCTTATATTCCCTGATGAAATGGAGAGCACAGTGTCATATCCTATCAAATATGGTAATTATTACTTTCTGATATAAATGTCTTAATCATAAAACAAATATATAATTACATTAGTAAATTTTCATTGTAAGGTTAGGAAACCTTAAACAATTGTAACTGTCACAACTATAAATATCTTTCTTTAAAAAAAATTGTATAATTCTTTAAAAGTTAAAAATAAAGCTGTGCTGATAGAATCAATTAATGCTGCCAAAGGTTTTAAGAATGGTGTATTTGAAATATGAAGTCAGGTAAAAAAAGAAAAAAAAAATTAAAAATATCAAAGTGGTTCTGACTGCTTTTTTTTCTGGTAAGGCACAGTAATGAATTTAGATTGCCCGTTAATTGCTTTTTATTTCTCTTTAGGCTTTTGTTTTTTTTTTCTTTGTATTTTTTGGTTATTACATCATCATTTTGGGATGTCAAGGTTACTTTGTCATTGTTGGAAGATATATAACCTGCCAGAGAGTGTAAATTTTTCTTTAATAAGATTTCTTGAACATTCAAGCTGTTAGACAAAAAAATAAATATACTGTTTAATAATTAAACTGAGGGTCTGTACAAATATGAGTATCTACTAAAAATAACATTTAAAGTGATGTTATATATATGGGATAACAATATATAAATTTTTATATCAAGAACAATTTTGTAGGGAATATGTATGACAAAGTGGAAAAAGTTTTTGTGATGCATTTTGTCTCTCAGGACTTCATCAGACTTGGTTTGTTTACATTGATGCAAGTACAGATGTGCATGAATGAGGGATGCTGGGAATTTTAAATTTAGAAAAAAAAAAATTTTTTTTTTTGTGTTCATCTGAAAGTTAGATGAACACAATTTTGTTTTACAAAAAAACAACACCCTGATGATGACATAGTGCTAATGTCGAAAGTACTCAGAATAAATGAATATGTATCAACATGGTAATTTTCTCTTTTCCTTTAATAAGAACCATGTACATGAATATGAGAAGATCGTACTGAAAATAAGTAGACAAAACTTGTCTAATTTTTTGAACGAGACCGTCTTTTATATATATATATATATATATATATATATATATATATATATATATATATAGTGTAACCGGATATAAGAGATTTTTCTCTGGTCCCAAATTAGAGCCTGTGTTAATGTATATAAAATAGACCAAACCGGATATAAGAGACTTCTTCTCCGGTCCTGACAACTCTCTTATATCCGGGTTACACTGTATATATAAATGATAATTTCATGTTGGAAACAAAAAGATCTTTGTAGACTCTATGTTAGAAAAATATATAAATTTAAATATAACTACCATATTTATTTGTACATGCTGTAATAAAAGTTGTGTCATAATCAAAAGTCAGGATGATGTTGGTGAGATTTCCATTATAAATGGATGTAATATTTTAGAAATTTGTTTTATATCAACAAAGTAATAACTTTGAGCAGTTATTACATTCCTATCTGTATCCCCCACCCACAAAAAATAAATATATTACTGTATTTTTTTTTAGTTTTTGTTGGCTAGAATAAGTTGTGATATAAAATTAAATACAGCATGGAAAAGTGGTCATATGTTGAAAATTACTATTGAAAAAGAAAAAGATGCTGTAAATCCTTGTAAGAGGCCAGCTTTTTGCTTAACCTTTATCAAAGAAGCTTGTTGATAAATTTGAAAGATTAAGCAATAAAACAAAATTACCAATAAAAACCAGTTAAAATATTCTAAAAATAATCCTTGTTTGTCATCTCAAAAAGAAAATAAAAAGACAACTTTTTTAATGCCAAGTAGTAAATAGAAAAATGCTTACAAAGAAATGATAGTAATTTTCAACATGTCTCCACTTCTTTATGCTTTTGTTCGTACCATCAAGAAATTGTCTAAATTTTAATTTACTTCTTGTTAATGGCTGTCTTGTACATTTATTTGGTAGACATTTTTTTTTAATGAATGAAACCCTCATCTTTGTGATTGCTTAAGTGGTCAGAGATATCCAAGTTCTCCCAATTCTTTATGATGAGGTAATGCATTGTACAGCAGACAGAAAACTGACCATTTCACATTTAATATGAAGGGAAAATTGGGCATTATATTATACACAAAAATAAAATATATTCCTGTTTTTTTGTTTTTTTTTAAACATTAAAAATAAGGCACAGCATTATATACAAGATCACATTGTATACCAATAAATATGGTATCTTTATCAGAGGACAGACGTGTTTGTTTGATCTCATAGTACAGTAAGAGTCATCCTTAATTACCTCTTAAGTTTTGTATAAAGAACTTTTTCAGACTAATAATGGTCATATCGATGTAATCAATCTTATATCAAAGAAAGGAAGAAACAAAAATGATGGTTAGAATTTTACTTAAAAAGCATTGAATAAACAGGTACACTTAGCTATTATATTTTAAAGTTTTTGAGGTTTAGTGTATCTCGATGCATAAACTAGCTCATTCAGCTTTTAATTGTTTTTACTTTCATCAATATCTTATTTTCTTTCCTTTCCTAACAAAACCTGATATATTATTTTTTATCCCACAATGTCTCAGCATTGGTTTTGTCATATAAGAAGATATGTTGTATGAACAAGGATGTAAATTTAAAATGGAAGTTTCTGAAATTAGTCCACTTTCAATCCATTTTCACCTTAATTACTTTCCCTTTGAATTAAGTTCCCACAATCTCTGACTTCGTTCAGTATGCTTTTTAAATGTTAACATTAAAAAGTCTGATTAATTTTATTGTAGCTTGTACATTGCAATCTCAATGCCTGTTTTTATTTAAAGAGAAACAAAAGTTGTTGGAATCTTATGATTTCAAATCCCAATGTAACAGCTTAAATGACTAAAACTTCCAACAATGACATATTTTATCAGTTTGATTTTCAGATCAGCAAATCTTCATTAAAGACAACTTGTATAGAATTGCAAAGTTTATTATGAATATTATTGATTTGTAGCAATTTCTTTTCACTTTCAGTTTCTTTCTTATAGTGCATGAATTTGTTTTGTTATTAGAGCAGGTTTTATCTTTTTTTTTTCTTTTCTTCATAAAGTTCATGGAAAAAAAAATATGTAAAAAAGTAATTTGGAACTTACCAGCTCTTGGGAATGAAAAACAAATAGTTAAATTTTCTGTTATTATTAAACTACAACATATTTTTTATGGGGTT